ACATATACGCACACTGCAAATACAAGTGTGTTAGTTTTACACGCATAATAAACGTCTAAAAATGACATATTTGACTAAAGTGCTTTTTACAAATTTTTGGACGTTTTAAATCACGTTATTTAACACGTTTAGCCGCATTAAATTAAAAGTTAATACGTTCAATTGTGCTAAATGACATGATTTAAAACGGCAAGAAATGTGTAAGAAGAGTTTTAGCTAAATAACACACTTGAATTTGCACTGTGCATTCACCTTGATGTTATTTCATTCTATATTTTGCTATAGAATGTATGCTAGATACACGCAATGTATATGTACACACACACACACACACACACATCTGTATTTGGTACACCAATACGAACGAACAATTTTGTGGAAAGTTTTCATCATACAATTTTTCAGTCTGTAAAAAACTGCTTCTTTTTTAAATTCTTCTTTTATATAAAAATATATATATATATATATATATATATATATATATATATATATATATATATATATATTGTATGATGGAAACTTTTCACAAAATTGTTCGTCCGTATTGGTGTACCAAATACAGACTTCTTGTTTTAAAGGAAGCCAAGTACGTCTCAAATAAGGAGTAAATTGTAACACAGCCGGATACCTTATCGATATCATATCAGCTTCCTCTTGAATTACTTGCAATTCTCTTTCGAACTCATCGGCCGGTGCCAACGGTAAGGCCATAGTAAGACCGAGGACCTTTCTAGGGGCTGCCGTTAAACCTAAAGCTCTCCAACGTCTTAATACGGCCTATATAAAGAGTAATGAAACAAATAAATGAGTTATAACAATAAAAATCTTTATAATAAATATAGATTCTAAATAAATCCCGCTGTTTTTGTGATTCCATAGTAGATGCTATATACGTGCCTGATTGAAATGAAACCAGCAGCCGGTTAATCGTGCTTCCGAAAAAATCTCCCTTGCAGCCGTCATAGCCGCGCGTTCGTAATCGCTGACGACCAATTGCACTCTTTGCAGTGCATTCGGACGGAGTTCTTTTATCTTTCGCCAAATTGCACTATACAGATCCATCGTGCGGTTCTCACACAATACGAAAAGGACAGCTACACCCTAATAGAAAATAAATTAACGTAGAAATATTTATTTCTAAAATATGTTATAGAGATAGAAAGCTATTAAATTTGTATATAGCATTTCATAATAGAGCTCACCGTGTCCATATATCTTATATGTATGGTATATAATTGTGCAAAGGGCGGCGTTCGGGGAACGACCTGTACATAAAGACGAGTTTACACGAAAAATTTTAAATTTCAATACCTCTTCTGCATTAGCTTTGTTATATTGTCTCTCATACAAAATAGTCCTATATTTAGAATATTACTCACCGAAAACGTACCATCCATATAAATTTCTGTGGATGCTGTCAAAGCATCTAGTAAAGCCTCACTTGTAAATATTATTGCTTTATAGCCGTTGTCGGATAATGCTATGCCCTTATAAATATATTCGACTGGTCGATAATTTCTTAGGGCCATCTCAAATTCGTCAATAGTTTGAGGTGTTTCTGGTCTGTGACGTATCTGCTCTCTGTAGAGAAAACTTCTCATTGAGCGATAAGTAAGTTTTGTTGCCACTATTGGATTCCTGCAAACGCAAATTTCATTTTATGCTGAGAGCCAAAATGTCGAATATGACTATTGTTTCAGAGTGGATTCAGAGAATCGGGAATGGAGGAGGAGCCAGGATCCGGTAGTGATCGTAAACTTTCAAAATTCGAAACCGAGCTTTATTTTAAACAGTGTTGATTCGAGTCGGGCGGTAACGTTCACGCACTTCAAAAATCTTGCCGCGAGCCGGAATTGCAACGACCGGAACGAGTAGCGGAGGCGCGGGCTCCACGCACCAGATAGGCGGACTTGGAAAATGCTCAATCATCGCTCAGGGCACGCGGCGGGATGCACTCGACTTGCCGTGATCCAGCGTGCGGAAAAGAGCGTAACCCGACAACTTAGGGCTTCGAATTCGAACTGGGCTCGAGTATCGGGACAACCGGCTGCTGCGGTATGCGAGCACGTACAAATCGTCGCCGGGCGGCGTGCTCCTTGCGTGATCGTCGCGTGAGTCTCGCGCGGTTCACAACAGCATGAGCACTCTCCAAGTTTCCGATTAAAGCCCTCGGTTTCTTATTTCGGAACAACTATTCATAGAAACGTCTTTAGTATTAGATTATGTTTATTACAAAAATTATATGTCACGTTAGTGCTACATATTCAAATAAAAAAAAGCCAAAAAAAAAGAAATTGGAATGTCATGTTTTTTTTTCTTATATAACAACTTGATAATGATTTCATCGAAATTAATTTGTATATAAGTTACGTATATGTTTACATCACGCGATTGCATGAGCCTGCGCCCCCACCCCCTTGTACGTGTAATATATAAATCTTAAATAAACGTTAACCATTTAACTTACCGTCGGCATACCGTATCGAATATATCCTTCGGTCTCATTATCGTTTCGCGACACATTTGAAGCATTTCCTGCTTCATTGCAGCAATCTCCTGCAATGTTGTTTGTGTATCGTTTGCCGGATGATTATGTGGCATCTTCAAACTATATGTTCCATTTTGATTCTGCATAACAATCCAAACTTCGGCGGGATAAACATCGATATTTACCGTGGCACCGTTTGTCGATGTGATAAGCATGTCCATCATATTAGAAGATGAACGTGTTGTTACGTTTACCCGGCACTTTCTCCATAATTTACTGCTACACGCGTGTGATTGGATATATATTTTTCAATTATATATAATTGGGATAAATGTTACCGACCTAAAGTCGATAAATCCAGCCGTTACTATATGGGTGCGTTCCGCTTGGTGCTCACAACGTTCGTCCTTATCTAAACATTTGATAAACAACAAGGCTGAAATAATTCTAAGAGCGTTGCGAGCATTGTAGCGATCCGCGTATGTTTCGCGAATCTCACAAAATCCTTATAATTAGGCAGCTAACTGACTTAAGGCGGTATTTATATAGAGTCATATATTAGCATCTTGAGACGTTATTTAAGATCTTGAAATAAGAACGAATTATGAATACGGGCCTTACACCCGTATTCATGGTCCTTCCTTATTTTAAAAACGGAGAAAGCCTTCATAAAAGATTCCTTTTATCTCCAAAACCGCCTTTTTTCGTAGATTTTGCGCATAGATATGATTCTGCGCATTGTCTACTAAGGCCATTGCACGTAACAAAGTTTTAGTTTTAATCGTAAGGCCGTAAGAAAATAGACCAGTCACACTCGATTATTCTTCAAGCGCGAGGAGAATAATCGACTGTGATTGGTCTATTTTCTTACGGCCTTACGATTGTGACTAAAACTTTGTTACGTGCAATGGCCTTAGTGCCCATCTACAACAGATGTTTTGAGCCCTAAGCCTTAATAAATTATTCAATTACAGTTGAATTTGAGGAGAATAATTGACTGTGATTGGTCAATTTCTTAGGGCTTACGGCTTAAAACACCTATTGTAGACGGACACTTAAAGTCAATCCAGTCAAGTCAGTCCAGTTAAAGTCAAACTTGCATAGCACATAAACATAAGCATAAGCTATACGTAGCTATACGTAAAGTTATATATATGTGTAGCGAATTTAGTTGGACTAATGAACATTAAAGCCGTACACAAATTAATATAAAATATGTATTTAATATAAAAAAAGGTTAAATTGTGAAATGCTCAATATTCTTTATTGTGCTATTTGGCAAAATATTGAGTATTGGGAATTTTGTCAGTCAAAATTTTTGCATTTTACTTTAAAGATTAAAGATTAAAACAATATACAACGGTTTTTACGCATGCTTACATTTATCCATTTCGCCTATATTTATATTTATATATTATAAGTATATTTCGCATTTCTTTCCAAAGATAATACCTTTCCTTCAGCAATTTTATAAATTCCTCATCAAGACGTTCCACCAGCGTCAACACGCAACCATGTATTTTATATGACGTCGTTTCAAACTCTTCCATTTCTTCCGTCATTGTTTCGCTATTACTATGTCTAAATTGCTCAGCAACATATCCAGCATCTCGGTAATACGCTCCAGTATTCTGTAACAAAAATATTTATCTATTTCATACTTGCTTATTTTTAATCTTCTATTTTAGAGAGCTTATAAATTTACATTACACACACATACGTACATATATCTATTTTATACAAAAATACGTACTTCGACTAATACTCCGGCTTCATAGCATCAGAAACCTTTGGATTGTAATCGAATATAAGACACAATGGAAAACAATCTTTACGGTTACAGCCGGGCTGAAAGTATGAGCGTCGGCTATCAGTTGTAGCTCGTGCAAGAGCTTTATTTGCTCGCGTTTGTCCATGCGTTTTTTACGACAAACTGCAATTATCTCAGAAAGCTTCTTCAGCACCGCACCGATATTAATCTTTGCGTCCTTGGCGAACATCTTCGGCTTCTCGGAGGGAATAGCCACGCCACCGTTAACGGTTTCCCACTCTCCTTCGCCATCATCTTCGTCGCGTTTCTTCTTTCGTTCTTTTTCTTTGCGTTCTTTACGTTGCTCCATTCTCTTTGCTTTATCTTCGTCCTCCTCCTGGGCTAAAGACCTATGTAAAAAAAAATTATGATGTCATGTAATATATCGTTAAATTTATTTTTTTTTTTTCATTAACTAGAAAATAATTTTATCCAATTTTATAGATTGAAAGAACGTACTTCTTGATGAAACGCTCGCGAATATTTTGATATTGGCCTTCGTCATCGCTACTTGTGCTCTCACTGTCTGAATCACTGCTCCAGTCAGATTCGCTTTCACTTGCTTCCAATCCCGCCTTCTTGAAAGATACGGCACTGTCCTCTTCTTCTTCAGATTCTATAACCTCATCGGCTGAAAAATAGAAATAATTCATTTTTTTTTCATCTTGCAAAGATTTGAACTTAAACAAGCGTTTATAATAAATGTTTTTCATGGTAGTCAAACCTTTTCTCTTCTTCCTTGTCGTCGTCCTGATCAAGATTCTCCCTAAATTTGGCGATGTCCTCCTCAAAATCCTTATTATATTTTTGCAATTTTTGACACAACGTTGAAAGCAACTTGGAATTATTCTTGCGTCAGTCGCGGTCTTCCCACACCTTGTTGATAAAATCTTCCATCTCCACCAAACATCTAACGTAGAATCGCAGTGTTTGTCCAAGCTTCCCCTTCATGATCACAGGTAAAGCTTTCTGATAAGCTCGCATCAAGTCCTCAAAACCTAGAATTATGAGAAAAAATACTTGGTATAATGGAAGCGCTTAATTACACCAACAGGTTTCTAAAGAAAATTAACTAATAATGTTCGTACTGGACCTTTGCAGATCCAATTTCCAATTTCTTAAAATGTCATAGAAGATTTGCATACAAACTAATAGCGAATTCAGGCGCTTGCACTAGTGCACACTGAGTGCGCACTAAGGCTTGTTCTTAATCAATTATTATATTTACTCAGCACTCAGTGTGCACTAGTGCAAGCGCCCGAATTCGCTATTAAACTACTTACTGGTCAACATGCTGCTCATGTCCTTAATTTTCTAAAGTTTTATAAAATTCGCAATTTCTTCATATCTCTTCTCCTTTGTGGAGCGAACAACGCACTTTGTTTCTTCTTCATCATCGTTGAACTGTAAAGAGATCCTTCGTGTTATTTTCATAGCAGGACGACATGGTAGGTGAAATGTATTGATAAAAGTATGTTGAAAACGTGTGTTTCGGCCGCAATACTTACAGTGAAAGCCGTCGCAGGTGCCCTTTGTACCTGCTCCTCCTCCGACGCGCTATCGGACTCAGAATCTGAGCCAGTTGCGAAGAAACGGCTCATGATTGCAAACGCTCTGTAACAATCAAGCAAAATGTAATGAAAGGCAAATGTACACTCCCTAATTACATCGTAAAACGCAGCACTCTCGACGTCCGTGAATAAGGGACGCGCGCGGAGTAAATTCGGACGACACGAGGCGCGACCAGCGAACAAAATTCCAAATTACCTAGCTGTTCTCTTCCTCGCTGAAAGAAGATGCGTTGCGAGGTTATGCACCATACACGCAGGCGGCGGTGGCGGCTTCTTCTTCTTCGTCGGGAATTCGGGTTGATCCCGTAGGTTCGTTAAAAAAGGAGCTGCGCGGATCACTTCTCACTTTCCCCCGCGGCCGGCGGCGGGCTTTGAACCATATCACTGCTATTGCAGTAATGCAGTCCACTATTAAACTCGGGTCCGTGGGTTCGTTAAGCCCAAAGGATTGCGCGGCGAATCAATCCCCCCTGCGGGTCGAAATAAATGTCAAAATTGTGAGACCATCGTCTTCACTACCACGACCTCCACGTTGTAATCAGTTGTAATACGTATATAACATCGCAAAAGCCCGGCGCGTGCCGGCGCATGCAGGCGCTAGTCACGTGACCTCATTCTAAGCCAATCAAATAGCACGCCTTATGCGCCATATTGTAACGTGCGAGGTAAGCCCCAATAAGCGCTAGTCACATACTTAATGACCAATCGTGGCCAAGTAGCCTGAAGTAGCCGCTGCGCGCACAACTATCGAGATGCGCACAGAGCACAAGTTCACTAATAAAAAATATGAACTAATCTTGCAAAATATCTTACAATTATTTGAGAACTTTAAAAATTATGGACATTGTTTATTTAACATTTAACATTTTGTTAAACTCTCAAACACGTCTTTCTAAGACGTCATACAGACGTATTTCTAACAAAGTCTGAAAGACGTTTTTTCTAAGACGTCGAACAGACGTATTTCTAACAAAGTCTAAAAGACGTTTTTTTATGACGTCATACAAACGTATTTATAACAAAGTCTGAAAGACGTTTTTCTTATGACGTCATACAGACGTATTTCTAAAGCGTCGTCTACAATGACAGCAGGAGTATACCAGTAAAGGCTGATTTATAGAGGCCGTAA